GTGTGTGTGTGTGTGTGTGTGTGTGTGTGTGTGTGTGTGTGTGTGTGTGTGTGTGTGTGTGTGTGTTAAAGGTGCAGTGGTGTACAGAGTGAATGGAGATCTGTGGGATCTAAGTCTCCCTCTGGTGGAGGACTGTGTGAACTGCAGCTGCTGGGTTTTGACTCACTGGAGGGCAGACAGGTACAAGCTTTTGATTGTTTAAGAGTTTTGCCTTAGAGCGTTAACAAGGAACAAGTAAACGCTGTCTCTTCTCTTTCCAGCCCCTGATATTAGCACTGCATCTAGCGTAGGGCTGTGCAATTAATCGAAATACAGTTTCAATTTCGATTTTGGCCTCCAACAGTTATGAAAAAACAATAATCGAGTTAAAACAATTATTGCGCCCCATTCCACCCCCTTTCCAGCGCTGCGCTTTCGTTCCTCCATAAAAGCTCAGTTTTCAAATCAGTGAAATCGTGTAACTTCTGCAGAATGGGACGTGCTCAGAGACGCACATGTAAAGCGTAAAGTCATCTTTTAGCTCAAGGTGCGCGCCTAAACTAATGCGGCGCTTAGTGATTATTCACGTAAACCCTCGTCGGTCATAAATGAACGTAAAGAGTTGAGAATGAAAATACATTCGTTGGATCCGTGCGCTCTTAAAGTGACAGCGGGCTAATATTCCTGACTGTGTGCTTAATATTAATCAAACTACAAAAGACCAGATCACTCACTGCTCTTGACTGAAGGGCTTTTGTAGCTTCAATAAGAAACAAAGAAAGTTTCATTTACAGCATTTACATTTACAGCCTAGCCTACTTTAGACTTGCATTAACCTTAAAAAAAAAAACCTTCAAGCACAGTTTGTTTCATTTGTATCTTTCAAATCTGATCATCAGGCTTCTGAGGAGCGTTTATTTCTTCATCTCTCAGATTAGATTGCATTGCATTATATGTTTGGATCATTTAAATCTCATCTTACTAAGAAATATTATTGGAGATATAGAGTGACGACTCATATTTATATCATATATACTGTCATAAAGATCTCATTGATTTACATTACAAGCATCAGAATTCCATCTTACTTTGAGATCATATAAAAATCAGCATCTGCACCAAATTGCATATTTCTCAAAATAAAAAGTAGCTGTTTTTTCCTCCATATTTTCACTGTATATGAGCCACAAAAGCCTGATGGATCAAATATTACTGTATACTCGACAAGTAAAGCATTTTTTGAGATTTTCGAAGAAAAGTAAAAGTTGAGAATTGTAATAATATTTCACAATATTACTGTATTTTTGATCAATTAAATGCAGCCTAGGTGAGCAGAACTTCTCAAAACATTAAAAAGTCTCGCCAACCACAAACGTTTGGACCGTGTGTTTATTATAAAGTGTGTCATTTAATTTACATAACTTCTCTCAAATCGTAAGACAGTTGTCAGATTATTTCTTCGTTTGAATGGTGTCCTGTGTGCAGTGTGATGTTGGAGCAGCGGGTTCGAGCAGATTTTGGCGCGCTGCACCATAACAAACACTCGGGGGCGCTGGGGGGTTTAACCAGAGTCCGGCGCTTCTGCCAGGACCACTCGCACATCTTCTGCACACCTGAGCAGGTACAGCTTCAAAGCAATTCAGTCGTTTTTGCAAAAGGATCAATCATATCAAAAAACACAAGTGTTGACATTTTTTATAACCTTTTTTAAAACAAAGAGCGATAGAAAAAAATGTTTACATTTAACCACTGTATTTTTAAATTAACTCAATTTATTGAGACAAACGACAAATATTTTTTTGTTTTAACAGTCAAAAACAAAATTAAAATTAGACAAATATCTCATTTCTAATGTTTTATATGCAGATTAAATAGGTTCAACTTTTGGCTTGTCTCCCGAGGCCACAGGAGGGCGCAATGAGCAACATAATGCAGCACATTTTAAATGTTCAACGCAAGGAAGTAATAGTCTATAAAAAACGCGCATTATGTCTAAATTAACTCATATAAATCAAATATAATTTCATAAATTGCATAAACAATTATGAACAAAACAGCGTCATGTATTTATGCATTGCTTAATCCAAAGAGCCGAATCGCCCATCACGCAGATTGCTTTTAAAAACATATGAGACGCAGTGAAAAGGAATAAACCTCCACAAATTTGCGACGTGTTTTCTAAAAGTTTAAACTGTTTATTATATCATTATCGAAGAAGGTGTACCGTCGATAAATACCGATACCGTTTTATCGCCCAGGTCTATCTGTGAGTTTGGGTTGCTTAACGTTCATCTGGGAAAACAGTGCGCGTTATCTCACTAGATTTGTAACGTAAATCATTTATAAACCTATTTCAACACAGGAGAATACATAATCATATTTCTACATATGCGATGTGTTGTACGTCGCGTCTCGCGATTTCAAAATAAAAGTTCAAACCCTCGCTCTGAGTTTGCTTGTGGCCAAATATTAAAATTAAATGGATTTAAACGTCATTGAGTCACGCTGTAAAGTGAATCTCTGCAGGTATTTGTTATAATACTTAATGTACTTAAGCTGGTCATAGATGTATTAGTTTATTTTAACAGTGTTGTTCAATAAAGCCTTGCGATTACTTGGTTTTGATACTTTTTTGAACCAATTATTGTCTCATCGTTAGTTTAATATGTATATATATACAGTATATAAATGTAGTGATACTAAAGCCTGTTTTTCACTTATTTTTATTACTAAAAAATATTAGATTGCTCAATTGTCAAAATAATCAGTAGATTACTTGATTACAAAAATAACTCTTGTTACGGCTCTAGATTAGTTAAAATATTTCAAAATACAACTACATACAGCTCAGCTTTTTGTGATTAAAAGACAAATATTTTGTCATTGAATATTTCTTAAAATAGTTTTAAAATATTGTTGCAATCTAGTGAACCAAGTATCTGTATTTAGTCTCATCTCGTGAGCTAAGTGTATAGTGTCTGCGAGCGTGATATAGCTCATGACTTCACAAGTGTATGATGAAGCTTTTACTCTTCAGGTTAATCATATATTCATGAAAAAAAAATAACTTTGAATAAGGAAAGCGATAGCTTTGCCATAGTATCCTTTCAAATGTTAGAGTTGCCACAGTCATTGCATGCTTTGCATGTGCTGCACGTTATTTGTACCATTTTGTTTTATTAGTTTATTTATTAGAATTTGAAAGATAATAACAATATTGTGATCTCTGATTTTAGTCCTTGAAAACCAAAGAAGTAGTGCTTGAAAAGTTCTTGAAAGTCCTGGAATTTCATTTAGCAGTTTCTGTACGAATCCTGGATTTTTGTTTTTAAGTTTGTTTTTCATCTAATATTT